ACACCTCCTTCCAAATTGACAACACAAGCTAGCCAAATGACCAAGCAGAGCTACCCCCGTAACGAAAATAGCTTTTTTTTTAGACAAGCATAACGAATAGCTAGAACTCTACTATTGCGCTGATGCGTTATTTTACGATTTCCTCTTTATATTCTCCTAGGTTTGTGTCCATTTTAATGCTTTGTATCTCCTTGATGCTATATTTTGAGATAATAAAATTGTCCTTTATCGAAAAAGGTTTGTGCCCATTTTTCTCATATAAAAAATAAAACAATTATTAATATACAATTAGTTGTATATTTTAAATCTTAAATATTAGGTTTCATGAACTTTTTCTAAAATTTGTACGGATTTAAGAAAACAAATGAAAGAAGATATACTTGTCTTTATTCATGACCACAAGCATGCACAAGTATTATGTATCCTCACTGTATTTTTAGATTACATAATTATTTGAAAAGTACAACATGTATTTCGAATAATGTTCAGCATGATTTTAGAAATTGGTTATCTTTTTGCCCAATTATTTCCCCAACAACCGTTTTTGTTTTGTCAAAGTTTGTGTTTATTATGTATCTTAAATTAGATGGACAAGCACGCACAATTATTGTGTATTCATTGTATTTTTTAATGCAAAATTGTTAAATAAAATTGACAACATGTTGAGCAATATTCAACGTGTTTTAAAAATTATTGTGTAATAATAATAAGTTCTAGAAATGTATTTTAAATGCTTAAGTTGTATGTGTTTCCTCATATGTAAGATTAAATTTACACTATTGTTTTAATGCATGTGAAATAATGCATGACGAACATTTTACAAAAACATGTGGAAAATTTTAACACATCCAACATTTCCAAAAATATGTTGATCATTTTTTTTGTCATATGCACAAACACCTCTCTTAAGTTTCATGGCGAAAGATATTATTCCTTACATTTTTTTCAAATGGGAAAATAAATTGAACTTGAACTTGAATCATTATTTTTTAAAGAAACTGGTAGAAAATGGACATCATGATAATTCCTTGAAGAGTCTACTAAAAAGGGTATAATTCCTTGAAGAGGTACACATAATCGCATATATAGGTTTTCAGCTCTAAGTTTAACAAAACAGAGCTAGGCCTCCCATGCTAACATGTGGAACCCGGCCCGCACATGTGGTGTACACTGATGTGGCATTGGTCTGATAACCGCGCCTATAGAAAGCGTCGCCAGGACCGTACATGTGACGTATTCTCGTCTTCAAGGACCGTATTGGAACATTCCACAAGTTTCAGGACCATCTTGTTACACGCCAAATAGTATGAGGACTGTAGATGTAATTTACTCAGAGAGGACGGTGGGATGAGAGGTGGCGGCGGCGGCGGAAGGCAGAGCCAGTCGCCTACTCGGGCGTTCTCTCGCCTCAGTCGGGCCTCTGGGATAGAGTGATGTTTTTGGGCTGGGCCTCAATCGGTGCACCGAGCTGGACCGGGCCAAACTCAGCTCGGCTCGGTCAGATTTCGGGCTTACTTTTCAAACTCGGCTCGCTACAAATACTTCACGGGCCGAGCTGATTGGGGCCGAGCTGAAACGAGCTTCGAGCCAAGCTGAAAAGCTCGTTCGTACGTCCAGCCCTACAAGCACACCTACAACTCAATACAGTGGACTTATAAATGAGCAAACAAAACAACCCGTACAACAAAATCAAAAGGCATAGAAAAAGACAACTATATCTAACCAACAAATGTAGCCGGAGCAACATCCGCCTCAATCGATTCTGCCCACACACCTCAACGGAACAGCCGTAAAAGACCAATCCATGCCCGCGATGACAGAGAACCTGATATAAAATTTAAAAGATGAGCAATGAACAAAATAAAACCAACCAAGAACGTCAACCCCATCGTTATCTGGTTAACTTGGTAAAGAAAGTCAGAGATGCATTGCACCAGATGGCTACTAATATAAAGATTCAGTGTGGTCCTGAATATGTGAGGGCTGTAACATATTTTAGTGACAAAAAAATCTAAAAATGTTTTATGCAAACGCTGCTTAACTGTCAAACCAAGGAAGTATTTTGAGAAAAGATACAGTTGTAGTTTTTGATGTCAAACACACATCATTCGGTTCTGAAGCATGTCACACAATACCAAACAAGCATCCAAAGTAGGTATCACCGTATTGCTATCTATGTTCTCCAACATAGCGCCCGTGATAGTCAAGACAATGTCGATTAGCACCAGACGCACCTACGAATCCACCCATGGGTCATCCTTAACACCAAAACAGCCCTGCAATCCATACATGAACCAAACATCCAACCAACAGACCGCCGACACACTCTCCCGCACAAAATCCACACCCCCTTACCCCCAAAATTTCACATCCACAACACCCCCAAGCACACAACATTATTACAGAAATAATGGAATGAGGAACTAAAAGAGGAAAAGAAAAAAAATCGCTACCTTGAACGCAGCACAGGGAGCCGACAATGCAGAGCGAATCCCGCGACCAGCCGCCGCCCTCCACGCCTCCACCCACCCAGCAGATCAGAGAGCTCGATGCAAACAAGAAGTCCCCGACGACAGAAGTAGCTCACCCTCCAGAAAGAATAGCACACACAGCAGCCAACAAGAACAGCGCCGCCCTCCTCCCCGAATCGAAGAAAAGGGCAAGAATCCCAGTCGCCACTGCCTATGCTATCGCGAGAGGGAACGGCAGACCAGAAGGAACCAGCGATACGTACAGTAAAAAGGCCTCGCACGCCCGAGTAAAAAGCCCATTTACAACCGACCATAGGGTAAACAGGGCCCAATACCGCCTAAAACACCCCCGATCAACCAGAGGCTCCCATTTCGTGGGAGCTTAGTATCTGTAGCGATAGTTGGCCGCACTTTTCAGCTACATTTGGTCTTTATGCCATGGACGTAACAAGTCATCTAACTAGTATTACAGCATCTACAGCCGGAAGCCTTAAACCATCCCTCATACGCCCGCGGACGTGTGCCCGGTTAGTGACCGGACAGGAGAAAGAAGGAAAAACTTGACCCAACCGAGCCCCTCATATCATACTTGTACGCTCGGGCTTTCCGCGAACCCTCATATATGTCTCAAATATGGGAAGGATATGAGGGTTCATGGACGCATCCGGGCGCGTCCGGGCATTCCGCCACGCAGGACAGGGCCCCATCCGGGACCACCTTTTCTCATTTTTTTATTCATTCTTTTATTTCTCTTTCTTCATCTCCACCAATCACGTGCAAATGAGTGGACATATGAGAAGAAAAATGAGAAGTGTGGCTACGCGGACGGATAAAAAAGTGCTCAAAACAGACATGTCCGATGACTGACTAGGCACGTCCGCGGGTGTTTAAGGGGTCATATTTGCAATATCCGGCTGTAGATGCTCTTAGAGATGATAGTAGGTAGTGGTAAATTGTAAACTACTCACTTCGTCCCATGATATAAAAGTGTTTTTAACACGCTCTTATATTATGAGACGGTGGGAATACATCTAAAGACATTTGTGGATAAAGTCAAGATAAAGTCCATCAAAAGTCAATGTTCAATGGTGTCCCTGCCAGCACTTGTGCCGTGTTGGAAGGATATTGCTGACTAATAAGAGGCATGAAAGAATCCTCTGAGAAGCTAGTAGTGTCACCATCACCAGCTAGGGACGAACAGCATACTAGTTTTGTTGAATCAGTCCACCACCTCCCAACGCGCGAGCGTGTCTACAGACTCTCGACTCAAAGGGCTGCGACCTCGCGGTGGGCTCCTACTACGCCCCCAAGGACACGAACATCACATATATCGCTTCGATCTTCGGCTTGTCCGACTACCGAATACTCGGCAAGTATAACCCCGGGCTCCGCAGTCTCGACTTCTTAGCCGCCGGGGACCGCGTCGACGTCCCCTTCCCCTGCGAGTGCCTCGCGCGGCCATCCGACCCGGCCTCCACCTACCTCGCCGCCTCCATCCCCTACAATGTCGCCACCGGAGATACCTACGTCAGCATCGCCAGCAACTACATCAACCTCACCACCGCCGACTGGCTGCAGGCCACCAATTCGTACCCGCCCAACAACATCCCCGACGTCGCCATCGTCAACGTCACCGTCAACTGCTCCTGCGGCGACGCCAGGATCTCCACGGATTACGGGCTCTTCCGCACATTCCCGCTCAGAGACTGGGAGACTCTCAAATCCGTCGCGGCAACTCGTGACTTCTCGTCGCCAGAGCAGATGGACCTACTCAGTAGGTATAATCCCGGAATGGACGGTGTCACCGGGAGCGGCCTCGTGTACATCCCTGCCCAAGGTACGTGAGGCTTCAATCGTAGCTCCTCTCTTTACTGTGGTGCGATTGAATTTACAGTTTTGCTAGAAGTCATCTAGATGAGATATAATTTGGTCTCGTTCATCTTTTATAGCCATTAGATATGATGCTATAAGATGCGTGTGTGCTGATGTGGGTTGTATCTGTTCTTGTTTTTAAAGTGAATGAGACCAAATTATATCTCATCTAGATGAGTTCTAGGTACTCCCTTGAATTTATGTTGCAGAGAGTTGATCATATCTTCCTAATTTTTTTTACTCTGCTTATTTGGTTTCCCAGATCCCGATGGAAGTTATCGTCCTCTTAAATCATCAGCAGGGTAAGAATTGTTATTTGAACTTATACTCTTATCCACTTAATTTTCTTGGTCATGCATGTTACGTTTACTCTCATGCAGTTGTGCTGATTAGTATCCCTCATCTTGTGCAGTATAGTCAGACTTCATCCTTTCACGAGCTAATTATTGCTCACCGTTAAGGATTTTTGGGAAGAAAAACTGGATATTATTGCCGGCTATTGCGAGAGAACTACGATGCTTATTCATATTCAACTCTTCGGAACAGGAAAAAAAGTTTCAGCAGGAGCAATAGCAGGAAGTGTTGTGGCTGGTGTAGTGGCACCAGTCTTGGGTGTCTTGTTATTTTTGTTTTATAGGCGAAGAAAGGTGAAACAGAATGTTCTGCTTCCATCTTCTAAAGAATCTACCCGGCTAGGTAACAATGATTTTTTTATGGATCTCTAACCTTGCAACTGAGAGTTAGTCCTGTAATTTGTTTTTCAGAAAAGCATATGCATGTCCTAATTTCAGCACTTCAAGTTAATATCTGTCGTTCGTTCGTCTCAACGATTTTCTGCTAGAAGGATATGCGTGGATTAGGGTGGTTTTGAAGCCATGCTTGTTTATCCTATGAGCAACTATATTTAGCCTGGAAATATTGTGCAGTAAATAGTGTATGATATGAGTTATGATTATGAGTAATAGTATGGGAGACTTCAAGTGTAACCAACGAGGTATGTCAGGGATCTATAAGTGTACTTCCTTGAATGATGCTTCCAATTTTCTTCTCTTTTTTGTGCTTCCTTCAACAGGCCTTGACTGATATTAATCACAACAGAATGTGCCTTCTTATTTCTGAACTATTATTCTTTTTGTTACAGCCAGTACAATATTAATGCAAAAGGTGACACCATCGACCACTCAAGCCGACATAGCTTCATTAGCTGCTGGCATTACAGTTGACAAATCAATCGAGTTCACATACCAAGAACTTTTCAATGCTACAGAAGGCTTCAACATAACTCATAAAATAGGACAAGGTGGTTTTGGTGCTGTCTATTATGCTGAGCTTGTAGGCGAGGTTAGTTCAAAAAATAATAATTCAGTTGCATTTCAGAAATCTATATGCCAAAAACATGTGTACTTAACTAGGGGCTTGAACAATGGCGGAATAACATAACTCAGTGAAGGTCCATGATTGCAATCATGCAACATCATGATATGTTCTTCATTCAAAATGACTTGCTTTGTTTCACTTGTGTTGTCCACTGTCCAGAAAGCCGCCATAAAAAAAATGGACATGCAGGCTACTCAAGAGTTTCTTGCTGAGTTAAAGGTTTTGACACATGTTCACCATCTGAATCTGGTTCGTAAATCTTCTATTTGTTCAACTAAACGACGCTGCTTTTTAATGGGACGTTAATATTGATTTTCCATGGGGACGATCTCATAAATCTTTAGTCAGGTTAATTTGCCGTTTCAATGTTCGATGCCATGCAGGTGCGCTTGATTGGTTATTGCACAGAGAGTTCTTTGTTCCTTGTCTATGAATTTATCGAGAATGGCAACTTAAGCCAGCATTTGCGTGGAACTGGTAATGTTCCGCCTCTCGAAATACCGATTGTGTCTTTCTGTTCTGTTTCTTCCGGAAGATTAATCTCTCAGCGCATTTGTACAGGTTATGAGCCTCTTTCTTGGGCTGAAAGAGTTCGGATTGCGCTAGATTCAGCAAGAGGTCTTGAGTACATTCATGAGCATACCGTTCCAGTCTACATACATCGGGACATCAAATCCGCAAACATCTTGATAGACAAGAACACCCGGGCAAAGGTAGGAATGATTCATGTGTTTATATGTAATATCCATCGATCCATGTGTTCTATATGTACATTCATGAAGTAATGTTGTTTATGTGCATCTTCCAGGTTGCAGATTTTGGTCTGACAAAGCTTACAGAAGTTGGCGGTGCATCTTTACAAACACGTGTTGTTGGTACATTCGGTTACATGCCTCCGGAGTAGGTTTCCTGAACTTCTACACTTTGTTTTTTTTTATTTTGAGGAATGAACATCTACTTTTGTCATTCCGCTAACTGCAGAGTAGTGGCTGATTTTTTTATGAATGTTGACAATTATGGGAAATGGTGTTGGCAGATATGTTCGATACGGTGATGTTTCTCGTAAGGTTGATGTGTATGCCTTTGGTGTTGTCTTGTACGAACTTATCTCAGCCAAAGATGCCATTGTCCGACCAACCGATGGATCTGCTAGTGGTTCAAGGGGACTGGTTTATCTAGTAATTGTGCATCTGAGCTAGTAACTAGTAGTAGTTACTTTCTGCTTCATAAAGCGGGGCGAAAGCCTTTTTTCGATAGTTACTTTCTGCTCTAACTGCTTCGTAAAGATGCTAGGCCGGCTGCCTTGGGTCCTTGCTGAAGTTCCTTCTTTGGCTGTTTGATGACTTTTTATCATACTGAAATCTGTAGTTTGAGGAGACTCTCACTGCATCGGATCCGAAAGAAGGCCTCCAGAAGCTGATCGATCCGAAGCTGGGAGATGATTATCCCATGGACGCCATCCTCATGGTTAGAAATAACATGCCCAGGCCCCTGCTTATATTGTTCGATTGGATAATAACGTATGCTGCCTTTTCTGCATGCAGATGACACACCTGGCGAACGCATGCACGGAGGAGGACCCCAAGATGAGGCCCACGATGAGGTCTGTGGTTGTCGTGCTGATGACGCTCTCTTCCATGAGCGAGCTCTGGGATATGAAAAACCCGGGCTTGGTGAACATCATGTCTGGGAGATGACCTCGTTACCCACATGTCTCCCCTGGCTGGCATTGTAGATCAGGCCACATTTCCTTTCTGTCAAGAAGTAAACACGCGCTTTGCATAGCCCTTTTTTCTTGCATGAAAAGCTAAATAGAAAATTAGATACATTTTTTTCAACAAGGAGGATAACGTCCGGCCTCTGTATAGGAAATTAGATACATGCAATGAGACATGTGCATGTGTGTCACGCACACCAGGGCAACCGCACCAACCAGTGGGACAGATGGAGCGATGGGTCACGCGACAAGCGCGTGACTGAAGTGAACAGCGTGTGTGTGTCGCTGCCCAGTGGGCCAGAGGGGTTGGTAGCAGCCTGCGTGCCGTGGTGGTGTTATAGGCCGCTGAGTCCGCGAGTGTGAGGGTTATGCTGTGTAATGACTGTTGAGATGTAGATACATATATGTATTTCTTGTACAACAAGCCCTCCTCCTTCCATGTATAGTTGAGGACGTGGCTATCCTTTGTACTTATATATGTGCATATTGCACCCGAGCAATATATCGTGAGTTGCATAATCTTCTACATGGTATCAGCCTTCCTACGATCCCTCTGCCCTAGCCGCGTCGCCATCGCTTCCTAGCCGCCGCCGCTAGTCGCCCCGCTACGCCCGCGTCGCTGAAACTCTCGCCGCCGCCGTAGCGACTCTCCCACCCCGCCCTCACGATCGCTCGCCCGCTACTCCCGTCGCTAGCCCTCGCCCGCTGTCGTAGTCTCGCTCCCCCGCCCCGTGTCCCAGCCCGCCTCGCAGTCTCCCTCTCCCTTGAGCTTCCACTACTTCGTGACTTTGGCACGCTTATCCCGCTGGACACGAATCCGAAAGCGGAAGTCAGCAACCACCAGCTTATGCTGGGGTACAATACTCTCTCCAGGTATCACCTTACATTCTATGCATGCACACCTATCTCCTCTTCTCAAGAGGATGAAATCGATCTGGCTAGAGTGTTGGCCACTACTAAAAGTCACCAGATGTGATTCTCTCTTTCTAAAGAGTGTGTTAGCTACAATCATGTCGTAGGCTAGAGCAAAGCTGAAGACAACATCTCCTTCTGGATTCCTGATGCCATAGCCAAAGCCCCCATGTGCCCCTTCAAAACCTGTGTTAGATGATGTACCCACGTGGCCATTGAGGTCTCCTCTTATGAAGAGCTTCTCGCCAATCGGTATACTTCTAACCATGTCTTCCAGGCCTTCCCAGAACTCTCTTTTGGTGTTCTCATTGTGGTCTACTTGCGGGGCATACGTGCTGATAACATTGAGAACTAAGACCCCAACTACCAGCTTGACCAGGATAATTTGTCCCCAACTACCAGCTTGAGGCTCTTGTTGATCAAGATGCCTACGACAATTCTGTTTGCAGCCATCCCCATGTACCACAGCTTGAAGCCGCATTATGTCCCCTCCATTTGGTTTTTTGGACGCAAAGGATATCAACACCTCTCCTCACCGCTACATCAACTAGCTCCCGAAGCTTTCCTGTCAGAGACCCTACATTCCAGCTACCTAAACGAATCCTCCTAGGCTCGGATAGCTTCCTTACCCTTCGCACTCATCGAGTCAAATGCGATGACCCTTGCTCATTTTTCCAGTACATCCGGGCGCCGATGTAGCGCGCCACTAAGGATGCGACGACCCGATCCTCGCTCACTTGGGGATAAAAAACAAAAACAAAAACAACGTGGGTTTCCTGACTTTGGGGGCATTCTAGAAGATTCTTTCACCAATTTTTGTGTTTTTAATCTTTCCTATGTTTTATCAGCTGGAATCACCTTTTTAAAACATGACTTTCTTTTTCTTTTTTTTATTATACATATTTTATAGATCCAAGGATAATTTTCTAAATTCATGAACAATTTTCAAACCCATGACTATTTTTTTGTAAATTCATAAACAAATAAATAAATTTGCTTATAATTTTTAACTTCGTGAGATATTTTCATACTTATGAAGATTTTTATGTTTTTAATTCATGTACATTTAAAAATATATGTGAACTATTTTGAAATTCTTGATTTTTTAATTCAGATACATTTTAGAATTCAACAATCATCTGAACATTTGTTTGAATTTATTAATAGTTATTATATTCATGAATATGTTTTAAAATTTGTAAGATTTTTTTTCAAAACCACAAACATTATTTGAAGGTATGAGTTTTTAAAATCAATATTTATGAACATTGTTTGAGTATCTATCTCTTTCGTTCTTCTCTTTTCCCATCCCAATCCAACCCCTTCTTCTACCTCTAGCCTGCATAGGCGCCGCGCACTACTTGTCCATGCTCTGTGTTTTCTCCTTCCCTTGCTCTCAACGCTGCCACGCAGAATGCCGTAACCCACCACAAGCACTGCTACTGGTCGCGCGGGATTTGTTGCAAGGGAGTGGTGTTACAATCGGAGACAACAAGTTGGAAGCCGCAAGCGACGCAGAACTACGACTGTCGACGAGACGAAGTGGGGGTAGGAGCGTGGGTGTTCTTTTTCAAAAATACATTTTTTTAATGTCTAATTTGTTTTGAATATGCAACAATTTTTTAAAACTCTATTTTTTTAAAGATTGAACATTTTCTAAAAATACATGTTTTTTAAAATACGAACATTTTTAAAGTTCTGAACATTCTTGAATGAAAAACTTGTTTTCTAAAACATGGATTTTTTGACTTTTTATTAAAAGTTCTAAACAATTTTTGAAAATGCGAACAAGTTTTTTTGTGAAAAGGACCCCAGATCAATTATAAAGTATCAACAGCAGCACAAACGACTGCAAAGAAACCAGAAAGTACATTCCAGTCCACAAAGCACCACACAACTTCAGTTACCGGAACGAACGCAGGCGCGCTGCCGCCGCCTCGCACCCGAAGGCGGCCTGACCTTGTAAAGGGCGGACCATCTGGCAGATGGGAAGACTCGGAGGAGCAATGCATCGGTAGACCGCCGTCGTCAGCGCCATTGAAGAAAATATGCACATGATCCACAGGAACCACGGACCACTCCTACACCTAGATCCACCAATCCGAAAACAAGCAACCAGATCAAGCCCAACGCTCCTCAATGTCGATGACAAAACCGCCTCCGACGAGGTGTGGTCGCGCGGGATTTGTTGCAAGGGAGTGGTGTTACAATCGGAGACAACAAGTTGGCAACCGCAAGCGAAGACAGAACTACGGCCATCGACGAGAGCGAAGCGGGGATAGGAGCGTGGGTGTTCTTTTCGAAAATTCATTTTTAATGTCTAATTTGTTTTGAATATGCAACAATTTTTTTAAACTCTATTTTTTAAAAGATTGAACATTTTCTAAAAATATGTGTTTTTTAAAATACAGACATTTTTAAAATTCTGAACATTCTTGAACCAAAAACTAGTTTTCTAAAACATGGATTTGTTGACTGTTTATTAAAAGTTCTAAACAATTTTTTAAAATGCGAATAAGTTTTTGTGTGAAAAGGCCCCAGATCAATTATAAAGTATCAACGGCAGTACAAACGACCGCAAAGAAACCACAAATTACATTCCAGTCCACAAAGCACCACACAACTTCAATTACCGGAACAAACGCAGGCACACTGCCGCCGCCTCGCACCCGAAGGAGGCCTGACCTTGTAAAGGGCGGACCATCTGGCGGACGGGAAGACTCGGAGGACCAGTGCACCTGTAGAACCGCCGTCGTCGTCGCCATTGAAGAAAATATGCACACGATCCACAGGAACCACGGACCACTCCTACACCGACCCACCAATACGAAAACAAGCAACCAGACCAAGCCCAGCGCTCCTCAATGTCGACGACAAAAACGCCTCCGACGAGGTGGAGAAGGAGCCAAGGAAACTTATTTTTCTCGGAAACGTCGTCACCACCACAGCACCGCCGCAAGAAAACTAACCTAACCCTATGACCCAATCTACAGCACCGACACAGATCCAGGGTCCCCTCCTCTTTTTCAATAGTGAATTTTTTAGGGCATTTTAAAAAAATGTGAATGATAGGAAAAAAGAATCTGGGAAAATGAGCAGCAAAAAAAAAAACAGAAAAGCCAAAACAAAATGTTCTAGAATGTTCCAGAAACTGAAGTAGCAGTTGCTGCTAAATCGGCTTGCCCAAATGCCAACGTCCTGTGCGAAATGCCTTGTATTTGACACAAGAAAATCCTATGTGCCGCGCCGGCGGCATATAGTCTAGCTTTCGCACAGGCAAACAACCCGAGTGCAAGAGATGGGCCAGATATTTTTTGTTTTTATTTTTTTTATTTTGTATTTGTTTTTTTCGTTCATTTTTAGACCGTTCTGTTTCTGGTTTTTTTATTTGTTTTGCTCGTTTCTTTTTAGTTCGTTATGTTTCTAGTTCTAACTGTTTTTCAATATTTTTTATTTTTCATGTTTATTTTTATTCATAAATTTCAAAAAATGTTAATTTTTTTTCAAAATTTCACACAATGTTTTCTGTTTGCATAGTTTGTTCATAAATTCAAAAACTATTCTTATTTACATAAAATGTTTGAAATTTTTTTAAATGATCTCATTCAAAATATTTCTCGTAAAAAATAAATGCTTATTTTTACAGCAATTCTCACTAATTAAATAAATTTCTCATTGAAAACATTTCCTATAAGCCAAAAACAGAAAAAAAACAAGAACTGGCACTAGGCACTGGGTTAATAGGTTAGTCCCAAAATATGATATATAAATAGCATATAAATGCACATAAAACATCCAATATTGATAATATAATAGCATTGAACAATAAAATATTATAGATACGTTGGAGACTGATACGTCCATTTTGCATCATGTTTTCCTACTATTATTTTTTGTGTTCTCAATAATTATAACACTTTGTAGAGCAATTCTAGCTAATCCCTTTTCTCTTTTAATATGCAAAATTTACATGAAGCGGGAGATTGCCGGCAGCTGGAATTTTGGACCTGAAAAATTTATGTCAGAGATACCTATTCTGCACATCTCCAAATGACCTGAAATTTTATG